TAATGGAGTTCAGAAGGCTCTTTGATTTTAGGTGAACTATAAATCCCAGCAACTCCAGCATTACCAAATGACAAAATCAATCACCCCCAACCCCACCAGTATTCAGATTTGGGCATATCGGGTATTTGTGCCAAATTTGGTCCAGTGACTAAAAATACATCCTGCATATCAGATATTTGCATTACGATTCATAACAGCAGAAAAATTACAGTTATGACGTGGCAATGAAAATAACGTTATGATTAGGGGTCATCACAACATGAGGTCCTATACTAAGGGGTCGCGGCATTAGCAAGGTTGAGAACCACTGCCCTAGTGGGATGATGAGTGATAAATTAAACCCGAATATAAGCAAAGGCACCTAATTTTACCACAAAAAACTGGCAAAATGTTTTGACTTGAGTACAAGCTGAGGGTGGGAAATGCCGCAGCTACTGGTAAATTTCAAAATAAAAATTACATTGATTGAGGGATCAGCCGATTAAATGTTTTTGAATATTTACATAAAACTGTAATTTAAGATAAGACTGTCCAACTCTGATCAAACCATTCTTCTAACATTCTTCAATGTAATTGCACTTATGTATCCTTCCAATAATAATAAACAGAGTAAAATAATAAATGTAATAATACTAATAATAATGATGATAATAGAGTAAAAATAATGGAAATGTAATAATACTAATAATAATGATGATAATAGAGTAAAAATAATGGAAATGTAATAATAACAGTAATAATAGATTAAACTAATAAATATAATAATAACAATAAGAAATAGAGTAAAATAATAAATATAATAATAATAATAATAATAAATAGAGTAAAACAATAAATGTCATAAAATGTAATAAAAATAATAGAGTAAAATAATGTAAATGTTGCAATAGTAATAAAAATAGAGTGAAACAATAAATATAATAACAACAACAACAATAACAACAACAACATAATAATAATAATAATAATAATAATAATAATAATAATAATAATACATAATTTTGGCGGGGGGGGGGGCTTTTCAGTCCAAAAAAAAGCTGAAAAACTCAGCTTATACTCCAGTATAAATGGTAATAACAAAAATCACAGTTATTCTATTGTCAAAAATTCAGAAAAGGTAAATTGTGAATGATGAACAGTGAATGATGAACAGCGTTTCAGTCTATAAGCACAGATTGCAAGTTTAAATGGTAGGGATAAGCAGAAGTATTACAACAATAACCACAAAAAGCTGAAGTTGCCTTGATGGAACATATATCCAGATGCAACTGTACTACTCAATTCAATCTGCTGTCCCCATGTTATACCATTCTGAATAGGAAATGCCAGTCTGTATAAATACATGTTCAATCCAACGTCAGAACATTCATAAAGCCAAATACTTCTTTTAAATACATACACAAACATGATTTTTCAAAAGAAAAGGCTGAAACTTTCCCAGCTCAAATGTGTTAATTTACTCATATCTAACTTTCAGCCTCTGAAAAAAAACTACAAGGAAACTCACTACTCTGCTTCCAAGAACTTTCAAATTTCCTTGGCAATTTTGTCAAACCTTCTCAACAGGGAAACACTGCTGAGCTTTTCACATTTTGAAAACATAGGCAAGGCACAATTTCTCTTAGCAGAAGCCAAACTGCTTCTAGCAAAGCAAAGCAAAACAGAGCAATTAAGCATAATAAAATACTTACCCCTTTTGGTTCAGGCACAATCAAATGAGTGCATTTTTTATTGAGGCTGAGCCAGCAATCCCCACCATAAAACGTAATCAAGGCCCACAGCGAACTCCGGTCTTCAGAGGAAACCTATCAAAAAATACAAAAAAAAAATTCTTTTAATACCAATTAATTAGGAAAACTCCCTCAGGTTCATTAAAAAACAAAATTTGCTCTGACTAAATTTTGAGAAGAAAACTCCATAATGGGGTAGCCTTAGGACTGATACGCCGGAAATTACTTGAAGACCCACAAAAACAAAGTTCAGAAACAAATGGGAGTTCATAGCACACATTTAACTAAATGCTTGAACAACTTACCTGAGATAGACAAGCAGCAACACCGAAAAAGATCTGACAGGATTCTGGGGAAAAGCCATTTACTCTGACAAAATGAAGTCAAGGCAAAAATACAAATGAAATTTTCAAACACTTAAAAAGGTACTATTTTTTGGCAATTGCCCCATAAAATATTCTAGTTCTCAATTCCACTGAAATTAAGGCAATACATCTGAAGCTACTCTATAAAGCAGGCACGGGCAAACTTTCAAACTTGGGGGCCACATGGTGGGCTGGAGTGGGGTGGTCAGGTTGGGAGGAAGGGGGTTCTCCCCAAGCCCCCTCCCTGCCTTTTCCTCCATTTTCTCTTCTCTTTCAGAGGCAGAAAGAGAAGGAAAGACGGGAAATGTTTGGATGCCAAAAGGGTTGGTCTTGGTCACGATGACATGGCAGACAAGAGAGAAAAAGTATATCCATTAGACCCTATATTGCCTACTCCTGATATAAAATCCTAGAGCTGGAAGAGACCCCCATGGGCCATCCAGTCCAACCCCCTTCCATGAAGGCACAATCAAAGTACTCCTGATAGACAGCCTCTGCAGAAAAGCCTCCAGAGAAGGAGGCTTCTACCTTCTTCAATGTAATTGCACTTATGTATCCTTCCAATAGCAATTACTCTTAGGAAGTTCTTCCTAAACTTTTCAGTCGAATCTCTTTCCCTGCCATTTGAAACCATTGTTCCCTTGTGCCCTGGTCTCTAGCGCAGGAGAAAATCAGTTTTCCCTCTCCTCTTATTTATTTATTTACTTACTTACTTACTTACTTACTTACAGCTTTTATATTCCGTCATTCCCACCCCGCAGGGGACTCAGGGAGGATTACAGTGTACACATATATGGCAAATATTCAATGCCAATTTTGACGTACAACATATACAAGACATACACAGAGGCTATTTAACTTTTTCTGGCCACCAGGGGAGCTGTTGCTTTCATCGTCCATCTGTGACACTGATGAAGTACCTTCCGCATTCCTCGCATGCTTCCCCACTGGAGTTCTTCTTTATGGCCTCATAAATTAGTTAATTTTAGCCTCCCCACACTTTTAAGGTGGTACCTTATTTTCCTACTTGACAGATGCAACTGTCTTTCGGGTTGCAAAGGTCGACAACGGGCTACACAATGGTTGGAAACCCACTCCAACCCGGGCTGGCTTCGAACTCATGACCTTTTGGTCAGAGTGATCTTAATGCAGCTGACATTCAGCCAGCTGCACCACAATCCCAGTGCTCATGTTCCCTCTCTACCTTCTCTTCATCCAGCAAACATCCCCCAGGAGGAAAGGAGGAAGGAAAAAGAGAAGGAAGGAAAGAAGAGAAGGATGGATGGATGGAATGAGGGAAAGAAGGAAGGAAATGAGGGAAGGAGGAAAGAGAGAAGGAAAGACTAAAGGGAAGGAAGGAAGGGGGGATGGGGGGAATGAGGGACGGAGGGAAGAAAGAGAGAAGGAAGGATAGGATGGTGAGAGAGAGGAGGGCCTGAGAAAAGAGCCCAAGGGGCCGCACCCGACCTCCAGGTCTGGGTTTACCTATACCTGATATAAAGTGATTAAACAGCTTGATTCCGGAAAATTATAGTTAAGAGTCCTGCCTTTGCACCGAATGAAGATGGGCAACCAGATAGTCTATTCCTGGATTTTCGAGCCTGGTTTTTTTTCTCCTATTTTTAAAAGAAAGACAGAGGCTAACATAGAATTCAGCATACACAGTCATTAAGAAGAGAAATCAAACTAAGAATGCTCACAATCAAACCCAACATATGGAAAAACTACAGTGTCCATTCACTCAAATATTTTTAAAAAACCAGTAAAATGAAAAACTAACGAATAAATCGTCACTTGTACTTGCAAACATATTCACTTAGCAAGAATTCCTCTTCCATATACTCACTTAGTGCATTCATGAAACTTTTAAGTAAGGATAACTCAACATTCTTTACATTTTAAGCAGAAAGGATACGGCAGAAGAGCTCCACACCGAACGGACAAAGTCACCCAGGAAGGCTAAAAAGTTTTGAAAATTAATCTGATAAGTGCTTTTCAACAAATGTACATCACCACCTAACAACAGTTATCTTTATTAAATGAATGCATAACAAATTAAAGTTAAATAATCATATAAAGCATACACACATATATACAAAGCTGTCTTATAATGACATATTATCTACCCTGACTGGCAACATTCCAAAAATTTCTGGCCAAAATTTTCCTAGCTCATCCTGGAAGAATTGAACTAGAATGTGAGACCATCCCATGCCAACAGGTGCCAAAGTCCTCCCTATCACATTAGAATTAGAATCTTCTGTGGGAAATACAACATGTATGTGTTGACACAAAAGAAATCTACATCCTGTCTTTATACACAAGATGATTGGCGACACTAATATCCCTACTCCAATTTTCTAAGGAGAGGAAATTGAATCCAGCACATTCAATGTTGCAATTGTTGTCTTCATATACTGTATATGGAAATTTCTGAACTTAGGATCTTTTTTCGGTGGTGTCAGCTGGCTTTTAGGGTTCAGCCATGGAGGCCGATAGCTCCCGTCACACCACGGATAACTACTTCTGGGGTGTCTCTGTGGCTGAAGTGCTGCAACTGCTGAAAAATATCAATAGCAAACAATGGCAGGCTCTCCATCTTTCCATAAGGGAAGATGGGTTGAGAAGCAGAAAAAGGGCATTTGTTTCGTGCATGGAATAAGATACTGATATTCCTGACACTCCTCCTTACAATGAAGTATACTGGGGTGATGAGTGAAGTTTACTACACAGCTGTCCAGACTTACCTTTACAATTGGAAGATCAAACACCTCACGAGATTCACTCACGTCTGGATTGTCTCCATCTTCTGCGATGATGTGTGATGCCAGTGCATTATAAGAAACTTCCTTTCCTTTGCCATCTTTCAGAAACTGAATAACCTGAAAGACAACAATAGTTTTTCTTTTCATTCTCTTGCAATGAGAAGACACAGAATAAAGTGACAGATTGAAAGAAATAAATAGAACGACATAATAGACTAGTTGAATTTTCTTTCCACCATTCCTAACACGACTTTAAACTGTCATAATGAAAATCTAGTGTTTTACCCTACAATAATAATAATAAATCTATATTTATATGCCACTTTTCTCCCACAAAGCAGCTTTCAACATTTTAAAATACAATACAAAATCAACCACTGTCAATGTATAAATAAACATTGTAAACAATCATCTATATAAATAAAAATGTAATGTTCGTTTGTGGGATTAACTTTACTCAAAAACCACTGGTCGAATTGACACCAAATTTGGACACAACACACCTATCAAGCCAACAAGTGACCATCACTCATAAAAACACTGAATAACACAGTGGAAGGGACTCAAAAAGCCAAAAATAAAAATACATTACAACGCATGCGCAAAACCACATATATACACATGTACATAAATATATATACACACACACACAAAACACATAAACACAGACTGGCAATGCATGGCAGGGGATGGCTAGTAAATAAACATTGAAATAATATACATTAATTGTGTTGTACTGTTAAATTTTATTGCACCCTACCCCCTTCCACCCACCTTAAGCCTTCTCATATCTTCAGTGTGAGGTTTAATCACTGAAGGCTTGCTTCAACAAGAAAGTTTTTAGTTGTTGCTTGAACGATAGAAGGGAGGGTGCCATTTTGATCTCCCAAGACAGGGTGTTCCAGAGCTGCAGACTGGCCACTGAGAAGACCCTCTCTCTCGTCCCCGCCAACCGTACTTGGGATGGTGGCAGAAGAGAGAGTAGTGCCTCTCCTGGTGATCTTAGGGTTCTAAGGGAAGGTTGGTATGAAGTGATGCGGTCAGATAAGTAGGACATAAACCGTCTAGGGCTTTAGAGGTCAAAGCCAGCACCTTGAATCAGGCTCGGAAACAAACTGGCAGCCAGTGGAGGTGCACTCCCCATGGAAAACTGTGGCATAGACACTGAGAACTGGGAAGCCCTGGCCCTTGAGCGCTCCAGTTGGAGGTCAGCTGTGACCAGCAGTGCTGTGGAGTTTGAAGAGGCATGAATGGAGGGCGAAAAAGAGAAACGTGCCAAGAGGAAGGTGCGTCAAGCCAACCCTGACTGGGACCACATTCCACCTGGAAACCAATGCCCTCACTGCGGGGAAAGATGCAGATCAAGAATTGGGCTCCACAGTCACCTACAGACCCACCGACAGAACACCAACCTTGGAGGACCATCATCGCCTAAGTAAGCAGTCTGGCTGCAGCTCTTTGAACCAGTTGAAGTTTCCGAGTATTCAGGGGCAGCTCCACATAGAGCATGTTACAGTAGTCTAAGCGGGATGTAACCAATAATAATCATCATCATCTTTATTTTTAACCCAACCTCTCCCTCCGAAGGGACTCAGGGCAGCTTCCAAAAACAAAAAGACAAACATTCAGTGCCAAATACAATCATCCTCCTCTCCATAAGCCAGCAAACAGAAATAGGTTTTTAATGCTTTCTTAAAGGAAAGAAGTGACAAAGCTGTTCTAAGTTCTTTTGGGAGTGAGTTCCAAAGGGATGGAGCAACCACGGAGAAGGCCTCTTCTCTCGATCCCACCAGTCGCGCTTGAGACGGGGGTGGGACCAAGAGGAGGGCCCCTTCCGATAACCGCAGAGTCTGAACAGATTTGTAAACACTGATGCAGGTTGTCAAATAGTCTGGGCCCAAACCGTTTAGGGCCCAGACATGGACCACCATAGCCAGATCTAGTTTCTTAAGGTACAGGCACAGCTGGTGCACAAGTTTTAATTGTGAAAAGGTCCTCCTGGCCTCAGCTGAAACCTGGCCCTCCAGGCTTAGCGATGAGTCCAGGAGGACCCCCAAACTGTACACCTGTAATTTCAGACGGAGTGGCATCCAGGATGCCAGCACAGGATGCCACCCTATACCCTGATCTGCCTTGCAACTGACCAGTAGGGCCTCTGTCTTGTCCGGATTCAATTTCAATTTGTTTGTCCTCAACCAGTCCATTACTACTGAGGAACTGGTTCAAGCTCTGGGCCACTTCCTTGTCTTTTGGTGGAAATGAATAGTAGAGTTGGGTGTCATCTACATACAGGTGGCACTGAAACCCCAGCAATTACAACTCCCAAATGTCAAGGTCTATTTTCCCCAAACTCTGCAAGTGTTCACACTTGGTCATATCATGTATTTGTGCCAAATTTGGCCCAGTGAATGAAAATACATCTTGCATATCAGATATTTGCATTATAATTCATAACAGTAGCAAAATTACAATTATTTTGCTGTCACACGCTGGGCCTGTGCATATGACTGTAGACAGGACATAAATTCTGTGTGCCCAACGGGACGCCGGGGCTGCCTCAGATTAAAGGCCCTTGGACCTCCCCAAAACAAAGTTCTGTAGAGGCTTAAAGTAAGTCCAACAAAGTTCTTTATTGATGAAAACAAACAGGTACTTTAAAGCTTTCGTAACAGTCTATTGGCTCTTGCAATCTTGTTCACTGGGAACAGGCACTATCTTCATAACTATATAATAACTAATGGGGAAATCCTTAACTTCTAATCTGGGCAGTCTATCTTTGCCTCTGTTGGTGTGGAGCCTCTGCACCCGGCGTCTGGCTTCCGCGAGCGACCCTTACCAAGCAGAGCTTTGTAGACTTCCAGGGGAAAAGAAGGAGTTCAGGTTGCTGTGATGGTTGGCTGAAGTCCCTCAGCAAAAGGAGCTGTAAGGCTGTAAAATCCTCAGCCAAGCTGTGGGGCCTTTTCTCCCCGGCCAAGCTGTAGGCTGTATATCTCTCCGGCCAAGCCATAGAAAACGGAGCTTTCTACAGGAGCTCTTAGTTTTATGTCCTGTGCGAAAGGCTTCTCTGTGAGAACTGATTCAAAAAGGCTCCTATTCCCTCCAAAACTCAAAAAAGGGGCGGGACCAGGGAACCGAACTATAATTGACAGGTGGCTTGCCCTATGATTGCAGCCAAAAGAAGCCACCTATCTGCAGGGTCCCTGAAACTTAGGACTACAAGAAACATTCAATGCAAAGCAAACAAAATTGGAGCTCCTGGTACAGCTGTACCTGCACAATTATGGAGTAGCAACAAGAATAATTTTATGGTTGAGAAACCATAAAAATGAGGAACTGTGTTAAGGGGTCGCAGCATTAGGAAAGTTGAGAAAAACTGATTTATCATATCAGAAGCAAACCAAGGGTACAGTTGTAATGTATTTTTAAAACTTGGCATTATACTAAATGTCCTTTGACCAGTAGCTGACCACTTGGAGTGCCTCTGGTGTTGCTATAAGAAGGTCCTCCATTGTGCATGTGACAGGGCTCAAGCTGCATTGCAATAGGTGGTCTGTGGTTTGCTCTTCTCTGCACTCACATGTTGTGGACTCCACTTTGCAGCTCATGATTCCAGAGCAAGATTGGCTCTACATCTCATGCTCCCTCCTCCCTGTGGCTTCCTCTCACATATTTATACATGGCTATCATATCTTCTCTCAGCCTTCTCTTCTTCAGGCTAAACATGCCCAGCTCCTTAAGCTGCTCCTCATAGGGCTTGTTCTCCAGACCCTTGATCATTTTAGTCACCCTCCTCTGGACACATTCCAGATTGTCAACATCTCTCTTCAATTGTGGTGCCCAGAATTGGACACAATATTCCAGGTGTGGTCTAACTAATAGAATAGAGGGGTAGCATTACTTCGCTAGATCTAGACACTATGCTCCTATTGATGCAGGCCAAAATCCCATTGGCTTTTTTTTTGCCGCCACATTACATTGTTGGCTCATGTTTAACTTGTTGCCCACGAGGACTCCAAGATCTTTTTCACACATACTGCTCTCGAGCCAGGCCTCATCCTCCCCCATTCTGTATCTTTGCATTTTGTTTTTCCTGCCAAAGTGGAGTATCTGCAACGGTCTCTACGTGGGGTTGCCTTTGAAGACTGCTCAGAAGCTTCAAATGGTCTAACACTCGGCAGCCAGGATGCTAACAGGAGCAGCAGTCAGGGAGCATACAACTCCTCTGTTGCGCCAGCTCCACT